TAGGGATTGGACATGTTGGGGGGGTACCCCTCGGTCTCATATCTTGCTGGGTATACATGTGATGGGTCACACACAATAGCGATATGTCATTCCTTGAAAAAAAAACTCGTCCCAAGTGATGTAGATATGTAAGTGTGCTTTAAAACTGGCCCACACTCATATTGTGGCTGGTGTTACAACATTTATAGTTTAGAATTTAAATTATTTTTAGTATATTTTTGTTATCCAGTATGGCATTCAAACTCAGCAGTTTTACAATCTTATCTATTTTGTCACATTTAACCTTTTTGCTTTTTTAGATTGTATACAGTGATTGTATGAAATGTCAATATTCAGAATTTTACTGTACATTACCCGTTTGTATTTGTTATTGTAAAAGTCGTGAGAGTGAAGCAATAAATTTGAAATGCACCCCTCATTTCAGTTTCACTCTTGACTTTTTTATTTGATGGGAACAGATCCCAGGTAGCCGTCAAGTCAAAAAGTGGTAGTGCATCATCAGTATCGGGGCTGTGATCAAGACCTACTTGTCTTGCTGCACAGATCACAGGAGTATTGAAAGACTTGCGGGCGTTTAACTGCAAGCATTCCCTAACAATGAATTTGATGTTTCTTCCTACGAACAACCTACTTTGCATGCACAAGTAGTGCATGTGAAGCTTAAGAATTTTCAACTGTAGAGATTTAGTTTACTGATCAACAGTATGAAGCATGTCATTTCTATGCCAAACCAGTAGGTCAGTTATAAAAATCAGAGTATGGCAAGAAAGGTGTAGTTGTCTTTTTTGTCAAAGAAGTTAGACTTTTCATTTCTTTCTTTGTAAATAACTTCAAACTTTTGTAGTAAGCAACCTACATAATTCTTGCACATGCTATATTCCTCGGCTGGAATAGCCTTGGATGTGGACATGGGCATAAGCCTAGGCACTATTAACTTGAATGTCCGTGGTCATTAAACCATGGATCCTCCAGCCAATCGACTTCATTCTGTCCAATGCATGTGACTGCCTGGATGGTCGGGGTTCAAGCAGTGCAGAATGGTCTATCGCAGGACAGCAGGTCAAGAACGTCTCTCTCCTTCCTCATTTTCACCAAGTGATACCGCCTGACATCGGATGGAATGATTTTACTGCTTGGTACTTGGTGGGAAACCTCATGATTCGCACAGCGTGTCGACATTTAAAGTGCTGATCCAGACTTTCCTGTCAAGTCAGACTCCTGACTTTACTTTCCTTCGAACGTCAGCCTTTCTTCCAAAAGTCGCTCTTGGAATCACATTAGCTGTTCACATTTTTTCATACGACAAAGTATGCTGACATGACGTACACGTTTTGGAATACATATCACTGTCTTCATCGTAAACCTCTGGTCCATAGGTATGCGTATGGCTTTGAGTGTCCTTCGTCCAAAGGCTGGAGCGTACAGCTCGTCTTAAATCTGCAGAAACAGATTTATAAAATCTATAAGATCACCTTAGGCATTCAACAAACAAACTTTCAAATCGAACCTTCTTCAAGTAAGTTACCTTTAACCTGGTTTACATTTCTTGAGATATCCACTTTGCTTTCATGTGTTTACTTCTTGGGAGAGGCAATTAAAATGCATTAAGACAGCTGCTTTTAACGGACTTCCTGACTGTATAAGGTGGGGTATTCCTCAGAAATTTCTGTTTTGATTCTTTGATTAACCAAACGAATGAAGTACAATCATTGCCTCTGAATATCCTGAAGGATTTTAATCTGATTACAACCTTGTATTTATGGCAAATTTTGTATCTAACAGCGACGGCAAGTATCACCGTTTGGCAGGCAAAAGTAATGAAAGAAACTTACTTTTGACCTTCTTGTCAAATTGCTTTTGCTTAGCTTTTTCTTTGTTTGCCTCACGTTGTTCTTTTTCTTGTTCAATCTTCTCCATACTTCCCCACACCTCCAGTGCCCGTTTCTCAACCTGTGTGAAAAAAAATGCATATTCCATCTCATCTTCATATCCCAGTTTAAAGTGTTTCATCAGTTATTTTTAAACATTTTCCCCCAAACAGGTAGCTTTTCTCCAATTTTATGCCAAAGAGTAGCAGTAATCAGTGATCATTTCATGGACCATGAGTTCTGTATGTCTTTGCACTAGTACGCCAGTTCATCACGCTCCTTTTTTGAGAGGACTATTCGTTAATCTTCCCAAATTCTTCCCTCTGCTGGAGGAGGCATCATTACCATCACAAAACATCATAGGTCCAGCAGGATCGTGACATCACAGGAAAAATGTCTATTGCAGACTACCATAAGCATCCATACAGTCGCAGACTAAGATCAAAAGTTAGTCACAAGATCGTCCCAATACGAGGGTGGTTTGCGTTGGTGGGATGAGCGTTTTGGCTACTGGCGCAGGTGGATTTTCAATGATGGGGGGGGGGTTTGCTAACCTGTAGAGCTAGATACAGCTTCATGTCTCCCCATCTTGGATTGTGTGGGTTCTTCCTGACAATGAACTTGAGAACGGGCTCCCTCCTCTCGAGGTCAGCATCTTTCAACAGATACGACTGCTTGGCATCGGTTTTGGTCATGAGCGAGTGCTTCCCTTCAGAGTCTCTGAAAAATCAATGAATTCACATTTCTAATGATGGGACACTGTAGTGGGAGATGTACACTTCAAATACTGGACTTTATAGGCATCGTTTCCTGGATGCTCAAAGGTTTGCTTCAGTGTGACTTACTAGGGTAGGCAAGCTCAGTTTGTGGTGACAGTACTGAGATACAAGGCAAAGCCAACACTTAAGTGATTAGCATAACTAAATGGGCCACGTGACGAGTTAAACATTTATTAATAAACTATAATTCAATAAGGTTGCCAAGGATATGTTGTGTCAAGGTCACTAAATTATGCAAGACTGCACAGCTACCAATCACAGAGGTACAGTGAGACAGGCAAAATCATTGAGGAAGAACCTGTGTTAATAAAACAATTTTGCAAATGATGACTGACAACAGTTATATGAATGACAGCACAAAACTGAATACTGTATCACATACTGTTAGAAGATCGCTGTTCTAAACTTTGATTCTTTCTGGAAACTATCACGGAAAAAGGTCTATTGCGGACTACCATAACCATCCGTACAGACTCACACTAAGATCAAAAGTCAGTCTTTTGCTTCTTTCCGGAAACTATCACAGGAAAAAGGTCTATTGCGGACTACCATAAGCATCTGTAAAGTCGCAGATTAAGATCAAAAGTCAGTCGTTTGATTCTTTCTGGAAACTACTGTTGGACTTACCTACATTCATCACACACTTCATATTCAAAGTGTGAATAGATGTATGAATCTTGGAAGCCTTTGTTACATTCCACACACACTGACGGTGCGCCACCTAGCAGTGGGCCTGGAGGAAAAAAAATCAACAGCATAGGAACCAATAAGGCTTGGCATATGTCAAAGAACGAGATTGCCGAGTCTGGTGAGTACTGAGTGAAGCCATGGGTCTTAAAAGTACTCTTCATTTGTTTACCCTGTTCACTGTGTTGAACAGTTAGTCAACGTCCAGTTTAGACAAGCTTGGTTGAGTTCAAGTCCAACACAGATAAGTGTAGTGAGGGGTGATTGAGCCTTTTGGCTGCACCTGAGTTACTTGGCTGTGGCTGGAAAGTACATGTCTGCCTTTGGAAACCGTAAGCTAGTGACTTCAACTGTTTTCTATATACCAAAGCCCTATCACATCTAGCTGTAGCCAAAAAAAGGGCATGGCTTCTGACTGGGTCACATACAAGTGATTCAACTTTGGCAAGGTCTAGTACCTGGCTCGTGGACGATCTTGACCTGGCTGGACTCATCCTCTTCGGGTTCCTCCTCCAGCAAGAACCCTGCCCCTGTGTCAATCACTCTGCCTGAGGAAGCTGCTTTCTCTGTCCTGAAATCATTTAACCAAAAAATATCATTAAAATGAAGCAGGACGTTTGCATGAAAGCTTGCAACTTGTTTTAATTTGGCGGGGAGCTCCAACATCTCCTCTTAGGAAATGAAATGAATCTCTTTTTTGGAACGTGCTGATACACCTGAGGGAACAGTTTTTAAGTCTTTGATGTGCTCATGCTGTTAAATGCTGTTAAATTCATGGCAGGACCATTGCTTAGGGCCATTGGGTTTAAGTTGAATTCAGCAACTGGTAGAAAAGATAATGTTGCTCGGCTTTTTGATTTAGCCGCCAATCAGAGACAATTCAACAAATTTAAGGTTATGACGAACATGCCTGCGTGCTTACACAAGAGCAGACTGACAGCATCCACATTATCTGTAAGTCTAGTGTCCCAGAAGGCCTGCACTGGATAACCTCAACGATGCCCACCTGTCTTCCCCATGGCTTACTGAATAACCTTGACAACACCCACAGACCTGTCCAGAAGTTTGGTTGGAGAGTAAGGCCTTTAGTGATCAACCAATGCAACACTCACCTATCTGAGGGTTTGGTCTGTGGGTACGGCCTACTGGACAACCTTGCTTGGCGAAGTAACAACGCTCGTTGTCTGTTCTTCTCAATCTTAGCTCTCTGTGCATCGGTCAGGGTGGGTTTTGCTTCAATTCCAGACATTGTCAATTACCTACAGATTAATAAAAAAAGTCAAATAAAGAAGACTGAAGTATTCTCGTTAGCAGAGAACTGTTAAATCAAACATGGCATTCAAAGCAGACATATCAAACTTGGGAGGGCTCGCACTTTCCTCCAAATAACCAGACTCTTAATAATTTTGTTACGACTCCTCTTGTTCGGGAAGAATTTATGTACATCTTGAGGTTATCAGTCAGTCGACCTGCATGATTGGTCAATCACTGGATCCAGTCAGTCAATTTTTCGGAACACATTGTCACTAATTCTGTCATCAACCGATCACCTTTCATTTGTAAATTGTAATTCGTGGTTGTGGATGACTTTGTTTTAGAAAAGGGAGAATTATGTCCAAAATATCTTACATGATTGAGCAATACTGCAGTGCAACTGATTTCTCATTGGACTGAGTCAATTTGAATAATTCACTACTCGAATATTCAACCTTCAACTCGATCGAATATCCAAACGTTCAGTTGTACTGACCAGCAGATCATTGATGAACAAACCATATACAAAATCAGTTGCAATAACGCACACAATTGTACGTTATAATTGCTATAACAGCTTCTCATTTCTATGACTATCTCTAGCCATGATTTAGTAATATTTAACAGAATAACAATTTACTTCTTGCCCCGTTGACAATTTATTCCTTTGAAATTTTTTAATGAATTACTTTTGAATTGTTGTAAGATATTCTCACGGTCGGGATTACATCACTGAGTCTTGATTCCTGTCTCTGACTGGTCTATTGCTGGCTACTCCATATTTCACAAACGAAACTCAAAGGGGAAAAAGTAGTGTTCCAGTATATGGGGAAAATCTGAATGACTGAATATCAAATATGCTCGAAATTTCACTATTTATGCGCTATGAACATCTCCCAGACCATACCGGAAAGGTTTCAGTTTTTTTATCAAGTTGCAGCAAAAAGGAGGAAAACATGCAAATCCCTGTACAAAGTGAATGGCGAGTTGCCCCTTTGCCAAACTGAGAGTGCAATAAATGGAACAACCTCCGACCGCAAGAATATTACATGTATTGTCACTTTTCATTAAAATTTGCTTGAAACAAGGCTCCATAGTGTGATTTTTCTCATTTAAAACAAAAGAAAATTCTCTCTTCCTTTTCACGAATTTTGCATTCGAATATTCAAATTAGGAAAATAATATTCAAATTGTTGATAATCGATCGATTATTTGGATGTTCGACATAGCCCTAATTTCTCGTTGAGACTGACCAATCAAACCTAACAACATGAACAAAGCAGAGAAAAACTGGCAGTTGATGTCACAGAACTCCATTCCATTGTTGTCAAGTTTGTTAAAGTTCCTATTCTGCACCACTTCCCAGATTCTTGCTGGAAATATCCACACATCTCTCCTTTTTCAAAACAGTCTCGCACAACCATAAATAAGATAGAAAAGATGACCAGACAACGGTGGAACAACCAGCAGATTGAATGTAATCTCAACACGCCATGTACATGAAAAACCCAGAAATGGATGACAGTAATGATTCCCTAGGCTGCAGTAATTTATTAGCTTTTTGACAGGAAAATGTCATAACAGTCACATTTAGCAAAGCAAATATTGAAGTAGGCCTATATCAATAAGAAAACACTCAGAATTTCCATACCAGTCTCAAAGGGGATGTCAATTAAGAGGCATTCGTATACTGAATTCTTTCCAAAAACCCAGCTCTAAGGCTTGTGACAAATGGGGGAGGAAAACTTCCCCAAATCCTGAATCATTATCGTGATTTTTGAGCACTGGACAGGAGTTTCCAAGCAAGAGCTATAAGCCTAATAGAGCATGAGTGATTTTGCACAATGGTAGCTAGATAGGCATCATGCAATGGAAAAAAGAGCAAACATTGCTCCTTTTTCCTTCCCATAAATACATGTAGGTCGGATAGTGCCTTTCTACCACTGAACAAAATGATCTCTCATATGGTGGTAGCAAAAAGACTTATTTTATTCTTATCTGAGATCTTAAGATCATTGCCCAATATTATAAAGACGAGGCACGTTTGTAGAGTCCAAGCAGACTAGAAATTACTTCAAGAACCCTTTCAAAGTAATGGAAATCAAAACTCAAAAGTTAAGACACCATGACATTGATTACATGTAGATACATTATTTATTACTTATATAATTACAAAATAATATATCTATTATAATATTTAATTTAATAATTATATAGGCTATTAGTAATGTCATGTGGTCACAAAAGCTTCGCCATGTTCACCACCTTCTCGACGCAGGCCAACCTCCGCGAAGTTAATTCCCAGCCCAGTCATGCAATGCTTCATATCAAATATAAAGCAGTGACAAAGTCAAGAACGAACGGTGTCTCCCTAGCCCAGGTTGGACGTCATGGCAATGTTTTCATTTCATTACGACTACACTACATGTATAATCAAAGTCAAACGTCCAGGGTATATTAAAAGTTGTGTGCAAAACGACCCGAAATTTGGTTCTAATTTGTTCTTGGTTTACCTTGTTGAAGAAACTAACGTAGTACGGTCAGGGAGTGTACCTGGGCTAGGTGTCTCCCATTTACCATAAAACATAAATATTTTCTGGTTTTCCAACAAGGTACGCCTGTAGTTACTCTCCGAGCATGTTCCGAGCTACTACGGGGTGACATAAGTCCAAGAAACGTGTGTTGTAGGCATATGCTATGGCTACGTCTTTGCACGTGCTCAGCTGTTTTGTAAACGGGAAAGACCTAGCCCTAGACACAATCTTGCCACAGAACTAATTAAAATAGGCCTATTGGTGGCGCTATTGCCACAATAGCGACTCGAATTGGGTGTCTTCTGCTCGTCTTTCAACCTTGGAAAAGGCACGCGAATTCTCTTTATCAGATGTCAGGAAACCAGATGTTTTTTGTTTTTCGTGAATGGTACAGGTGTTGAACTTCTTAACGAATTGTAATGGCTGAAGATCTGAAGCGGCGCTTGCATTTCGGCGATCCTGGTCTGCGCTTGGGAGCTGCAGCCAAACTCTTCAGTCAAGTTGTGAAAGAGAAAGAGAAAATTGTAGGGAATAGTGGTCCCATCAACAGTCAGACACCCCAGGTAAATCTGATCAAGATTCACATGCAGAAAGTCAGTTTGGACTAAAATCATGTAGATCCTTAGGATGGGAACGAAATCTTCCGGTACGGACATCAGAAAGTGATAACATCATCATCATCATATCCTAAATACTAAAAATACATGTAGTAAAAAAGGCAAATTTAAGAAAATATTGAAGTGTTTTCTCAGAGAATATTTAGAGTTATTTAATCCAATCTGAAGAATGTTGTATTCTCATTCTGACGCCACTTAATTAATTCCATGAAGAGAGTTCAATATACGGATGCCACTTAACACCCTGTGCACAAAAAAAACCCCTATAAGACTGGTTCTGAACAATTCTACATGTTCTAAGTGTTTTCGTAGTCGACAACTTCGTATTTTCCCTTTTAATTGAACTTTTCTGGACATGTTTTTGCTTTCTGATGGCTAATAGTAGGGAATAGTTACTGGTGCCCGTATATATGGAACTCTTCCTAATTTCTTTTTGCATCATGATCCGATGATAAGCCAATTTCCCATTCTGTCGCCATGTTGATTTTAGTACCCCCACGCGAGTACGTGAACAAAGCTTGTAGGGAACAAAATGTCTACAACAATAACAATCGCAAGCAACCATTTGCCAAATGCTATGTAACGTTGTTGTCATGAATTTGTTCCCTTCTGTTAAATCTTCTAAGCATGCGCACATAAAATAGACTTAGGCCTACATGCATGTATTGTGTCCAACGTATTCAAAGTTGATCAGTCTATGGAGAGTCAACAACATTCAGCCTGCAAACATTTGCAAATTATTTGCTAACATAGTCTTAGGCTTAAATTGGAAAAGTTCAGTTACAGATTCATTACTTACAGTGCTTACACATACCCTTTTTTTAATACAGTTGACCTTCACTAAGTTAATAATTCAAGAAAAAAGAGGACACTGGCTCACAGCATACTCTAAACACTGTAACATTCACGAAAGAGAAGGCTTTGGTATTTTGTCTCATATATAATGTTAGGTAACAGAAAAGTTTGGAAAATCTGCTGTTTCTAGATGGCGGTACTGATAGTGTACACTACTTATCAACATACATGTAGAGCGTGTTAATCTTGTTGTTGCCCAGAAGCATTTAAATGTCATCTCTCCAGTTAACAGCAAAGAGTTCTGATTAAATTTCCCTTTTGTGGTGGTTGAAGATAACAGAGCTCAAGATCCTGTGGGACCAGTGCACAGTCGAGTCCAACTCAGTGTCAGTCGCCTGCAGTGAGACCCTTGTCTCACTCGTCCGTGATGGCCATGCCGACTTTTCCTTTGTCATGAAGGGCCTCCTCAATGTCATCCCATCAGCTGTTAACTGCCTGGGAGCTGTCAGAGCACTCAGGCAACTGCTGCTTCTGGACATGCAGGCCTGCATCGCAAGCGAGGGGACTTATCGCTGTCGGTTTGGGCTGAGGTAGAGCTCCTGCAGATTGTAGATAACCAGAGTGGGCGGAGATTTCGGTTGATCCTCACCATGAGTCCAGAAGGAAGCTAACAAAGCTTCAGCTGTTTCATTTATTTCTTGTTATAAACAGTATCATTTTCATCTTCAAATGATTGCATTTTCTCTCTAATTCACAGCTGTGGAAGATTGTTACAATTAAGGGAAGTAAGGTTAGAGTTTTCATATGCTATCAACTAGTACCACTATTAAGTATTTCTGGTAATGAAGCCAAGGATGCCTCAAAACTAAAAGTGCCGTAGGCGCTGTAGCTCTCAAGCCTGATAAATATTGTAGAGAGGAGACAATGAGAAGCAATTACAGCTTTAGAAGTGGGAGGAAAACCCCAGAGGAACATTCTGGGCATAATCCACGAAATCAAGCAGGGACTTGAAAACCGAATCCACATATGGACTGAGCCGGAAATCAAACCCGGACCGCAGAGATAGAAGGCGAAGATAGAGCCACTATGTCAGTCTGACTCCCCAACTCATAGTGCAACACGATCGTGCTGATCGACTGATCACACCCAACAATGTCATTATTTGACACTGACTTACATTTGCAGCCTATTTTCAAATACATGTAGCATATTACAGTTTTGACGAATTTTTTCCGTACATCTTTGCACCAGCCTGTTTTTGGATCTGTGAGGGCTTAAAGAAATTAAATGGGAACGGTGTTTTGTCATTCTAGTTAGAATTAACCGCTTTAGCTACTTTGCCTCGGACTTGGTGGCTTCCATTTTGCCCGTAAAGCTGTGGTGTTGCGTGCTAGATCATTTCCCTTGTAAACAGAGTCATTCAAAAAAATGCATCACCCTGGAAACAAGAGTAGTTTTTGTTTTTTGATGCAGGAATCCTCCCCATCCTTTCATCTCGGCACTGACCAGCCGACCGGACTCTTGGCCTTTCATCTTGCAGGAGGTATCCAAACTTCTCAGCATGACAGACGCGAGGTAATTCAAGCTTCAATTACTCTAGACCTTGAACTAGAAGGAGGTTTGTGGCCTGTAGGGATAAGGGTTCGTGACTCATGACCACAGGGTCAGGGGTTCGAATCCATACGTTGTGGCCTTGGGCAGTCCACTTCGCCCCTAAGTGCTTCCCTCCAGAAGAAGACGGGGACTGGCCTTAGCTGGGAGCAACCTGTGATTAACTGGCATCCCAGTCAGGAGGGGAATAGATACATTCATGTAAGGGCTAGCCTGATAGTAAAGACACATTTATTCAGAGCAGACTTTCGTAGACCTTGAACCACAAGCACACAAAGAGAATACAAGCTTTAACTCGCTTTTCTGACTTGTGCTGAGACTACCATTAATGCAATTTTTTGTGAAGATTATGTATGTTGTTGATTGGCAGGTACTCTTGTTATACTATGGATATGCTGGCTCCATTCCTGTCATATGTTTTATTGAATCCAACCATACCACATCAGCTGACCACCTTTAAGGTGTTACTGGCAGAAACGCTGCTCCAAGTTGCTTCATCCACAAGTCCTGTTGCTGTTGATGCTTGCACTTTTTTCCTGGATTGCCTGCATCAAATTAAGGTGTGTGGCCAAACTCATGTTGCTCCTATCCTGTCCTTGAAAATGGCTACAAACTAACGTTATTTACATCAAACGTTTTCCCCGTATGAACCGGTGTAGTTACGCCGTAGGCCTCTGGTGTTGCTGTTCTCCCCCAGCTGTATTTGATTATAAAAAGATGTTTTCTTGAGTTGCTAGCACTTTTGTGCTATCCTTTGTGTCATCTTTTGTGCGTAACATTTAGATGGGTTGTGCCCATTCTGTTGGAAGTTGGTCACATGACCATGGCTCGTCTTGTGCACGGGGCTTTACCTTGGTGTGAGTGATTGAGTGCTTTTATATACCTGTATGTGGTGTGGCTTCAGTTTGTCCTTCTGATTCCCTGTTAGAATTCATCACCATCCCTCCATCTCCACTAGGCCCCTCCCCCTCAAAGAGTCTCTTCTGTCATTCTTGATAATTGTCATTTTGCCAAGATTGAAACTAATTTGAAAAAAATCTTGAAAGTAACAGAAATGCAACAATCAGTGAAATAACTCAAGATTCTTATGGAGATATATTTGCTTTATAATCAGTTCTTCTCAACACCACTGATCTGAAAAAGAGAAGTTAAAAAACTATGAATACTGACAGAACTCAAAAAGTTTAAGTGTGTTTGTTTCCTTATTAGATCGACAGCTTACATGAACTCAGCGAAGTCAATTCCTATCTCGTCAAATTGGCGAGCATTGCTCAGACTCACAAGGCGAACAACACAACTTTGCTGAAGTCACTGTCTGCGGTGGCTTTCTCCTTATGCAAAGAGTGTGTGACACTCGGCCATGACCTGACCCCTTGCCTGAAAGTCATAGATTCGGTGATAGAGTCACACAGTGCCGATCTGGTGGACGAGTCTGTGGTTTGTTTCCTGAGCTGGCTTACCCTGAAGGCGCTGCCTGACCAGCTCAGGGGACTACTGTGTGTGGGTGAGTTGGGTCCTATTTGCTGGATAATGCGCCTTCTATTTGTCTATGTTTTGGTGTCCTTATTGGTCTTGAATGGAAGAGATCTACAGTGCAGTGAAACCGTGGATTATAACGAGGTACTCAACTGCAGGTGCACAGAATGCTGCAAAATGTTAGCACAGTCACCATACAAATATTGGTAAAAGTTTTTCCATAGGTTTGTGCCTAAGCACAGATATATGCCCAGTAATTATAAGATGATCCTTGCATTGAATATATATATGGCAAGTCCATGCAACAACCTGTTATAAGCCACTGGTGAACTCCGCCTGGTACCCAGAGCATATTTTGTGTTAAGGTTACCAGGAAGAAGTATCCAATGGCGGAAGAATGGTTGTCGCTCATGCTTCCTGTTCCATGCAATTGTGCCATGGGCTTATCAGAAATGGTTTTTAGAGTGGCTCAGAATTATTACTTTTGCAGCTCAGAAAGTTGTGACCGCTTGTGAACATGAGGCGCAGGGCTGTGCATCGAGCCTCAAGATGTTGATCCTTCCGCTGCTGTGGATTGTATCCACACCCATTCATGAGGAAATCGCCATGGAGAAGCAGGAAAGATTGGCCAATCAGAGACAAGCATCGCAACTCCTATCAAATGTCAGCAGAATCATCCAACAGGCAAAGAGACCACAAGTTGGACAAAAGGTATTCTACACTCTTAGAACGAAACCAACTCAGTGCAGACTGTATTTGAAAATTACCTTAGAACTTGTTTAAAAAGTTTTCACAACATGCAATAATAATAATGCTTATTATAATTATGCCTGCACATTGGGCTCACAACAACTGAACATTCCTGAAACCATTTTTTTAAAAAAAATTTGCACATATTTGCATCTTTGAGTGTCATCAGCACACCATTAGTGGACTGGTAGTTGATTTAAACCTACCTTGGACCTGTGCTATGACATTTAAGTGCGAATGCATCTCTTGTCAAACTACAGTCAAACATCATCAGGCAACTTATGGTCCTTATTGATAACGGATGGTGCACCCAATGTCTCTTGGCTGGTTCCAAGGGGTTGACTAATCTTTTTCAGTGTTTATCAGCCAGGTTTGGTTCAATCAGACTCGGTCAAACTATGGTCGATGAGAGTTCTCAATCAGACTTACTCCTTGTTGTAGACACAGCATTGCGTAAGTTTGTATATCTTACCATTAGGCAAAGACGTTTTCCAGGCCAAGCCTGCATGCGGGGTACCAGCTGATGCAGAGCTGCGGTCATCTCTCCCACACCCTCCTGAGTGACCCCACCGCTGCCCGTGACTGGCTGTCCAACCTGCAGTCAAATTTGCCCTCTGTGGACAGCGTACCTGCTCTCGTTGTGCTGACAGTGTCGTCTCTATTTTGGGAGCCAGAAGTTGAAGTGGCTCGAGCATCACTGAATGTATTGATTAACATTGCCACGCAAGATTGCTCCTGGGTAAGTGGGCTCGTATGACCTACAAACCCAGACAAACCCACACAAGAAACAGGATTTTTCCTGTGCTTGATAATCTATCTTTAATTCAAAACCATTCCTCTACACTAAGTGTCTGCTTATACCCAATGACAGTACTATGTTATAAGAAGAAAAGGAAACATAATGTCTTATCCAATGAGGTGTATGTAGCAATTAATGACTGTTTGATATTTTGTGTGAGTTGATGCCATGCTTTACATCAATTAATCACACACACATTTATTTCCTCTTCATGGCAAAAAAATATGTATGCTTGTTTATAGTATGTTAAATTGTAAAGCCACAGAGCTGGAAAAACCTTCAAAACATAGCTTGAGACAGGTATGCCATTACAGAAACAAAAAAAAAACTGTTACAGAAAACAAAATAAAGGAAAACATATAGATACATAATTATATGAATATTAACAAAGTTACGAATAGTGGGCTATAAGTAGGATTATAAAAAAGACTTTGTGTGGCGTAGAATGTATTACATAAGATACAATATAAGTTTCCTTTTATTATGACCATAAGCATCTGATCAAAGAGATGGTTCGGGGAGGGAGATTTTGTTTGATCTAAACAATCTTGCAGAAGTTTTAGCATTAGGTTGAACTGAACTCCATAAATGCTGACAGTCAAACAGGTTAAATTGTAGAACAAGATCGAGCTCAAGTTGTCTGACCTTTGGTGTCTGTTTTTAACCAATTTGCATGCACAGTCCAGACCCACTTAAACAACCCCATTCAAATCACTGCTGTGAAAACCTTTTACATGAGCACTCACAGTTTTAGCATAGATGTAGTTGGTTGAATTTGTTGCTGCATTCCTGGTTTCTGTATTTTGTAGAGATACATTTTACAGTATAGTTTCCATCTGCCGTTACTTGATGAAACAAGCACATTTACAGCCGACTGTGCAACCATAGCCCTAGGTCCAGTTTCAATTCCTGCATTGGAGTAAAGTTAAGCAAAGTATAGCTGACCACAGTACACTCGAGCTCGCTCACTGTTCACGTGGCTACAACCTTCTTAATCTAACAAGCACATAACAGTACCCTAAACATAAATAACACTGTTGTTTGTTTGCATAGGCTCCTAGCCTGGTGCCCTTGCTACTCTACAGACTCAGTCAGGAGCATGATCCTGTCATGACCTTTGACCTGCTGTGCACCATTCCCAAGACAGCGACCCATAAAGTCTGCATGACAGCAGTGATCAGAGCGCTGCAGTCCCTGGCGGTAGGGGACACGACACTGACTCCGCTGGTGGTCAGACTGACTACGCAACTGTGGAAATTGCAGGTGTGCACGTGTTTTGTAAAAAAATTTAACAGTAAAGATTCTTTTTGGGGGGAACTGAGAACACCCCAAGCCTGCCTCATGTTGCCTGTGAACCAGTCAGGGTGGCTTCCTTCATGCAATTGGAGCCTTGCACTTCAATGTGAGAGTGTAGCAGCCTGCTAACTGTCCACCATATTGCAGCCGAGGTTTCGGTATTGTAACCTCAGAATGGTGTACAGGGACTCATCTTGACGATGCCACCCAGACCTGGTTAATGGTAGATCGTGGACTTCATCGTTGTGACAATGCTGATTCATACCAACAAAGAACAAGTACAAAGACTGGTTGGGCCAACATTTGGACGCCTTTGCCTCTGTGCCCAGACTCTCCATTACTGTGCACATTCAGAAGAAAATAATTCCATGTCCAAATTTTTGGGCTGTGACTTGAAGTTACAGTTTCTCTCTTTTGTTGTTTTGTTTTCTTGATTTGCAGGACAGGAGCTTTCCCCACCTTCAGAAACTGCTCTCCCAGTCATCATTCCTCCAAGGCAGGGAGGACCTCACCTACGAGCTGCTTCTAGCCAAGGCTGCTAGCATCAGAGATGTTTGTGAATTGAGGTGAGGTCCGACCCCCCCCCCCCCCGAGCGTGGCTAAAAAAACAACCCTGGTTATTTATAAAGAAAATGAACTTCATGTGGTACAAATCAAAGACACCTGGTAATCTACATGTGGTGTATTGTCAATAGGCACAAATTTAGCACACTTGAGTGCATTGTTAGTTTGAAATGGTCTTCAATAATATTTCATTTGCTATTTAAGGATATATCGCAACCAATGATCTATCATGAGTGCATGATATAGGTCTTTGCAAGAAACATATTGCCGTTCATGATATAGCATAGCATGAATTGCATGGTGAATTTCTTTGCGGAACGCATCTTGCGGCCTACGATCCAGCGTGAATTGTGCGTACATGGTAGATAACTCTTTGCCGCAGCATATCTCATCCAATCATAGAGCATGAATTCCGTGACACAGTTCATTGTGAAATCAAATGCATACTGTACAAACTCAACCTCTCCATTTGTCTTCTCCACACAGGCCTCATCGTGGAGCAGACCTCCTGCCGATGCTGTCCAAACTCTTGAATGACTGTACCAGTGATGGAGACGCTAGCATAGCAGCATTGGCCCTGGATGCCTTGTACATCTTATGCCAGGCTGAGGTAGTGGACCTACGCACCATGTGGGCTGTACTGTCACCCAAACTCACCAAAGATGAAAGGTAGGGATGTAGACCATTTTTACCATCAAAATGTCAGCTGCTCGGAACAGATAAATGTCAAATTTTAAAATGTTATAATTTTAGCAGTGAGGCGAATTTTCATTGGTAACAGGTAGTATTTTTATATAGCATTAAATTGAGTTTATTTAATAACTTATCATGTATGTCGGCATTTTTTGTCCAGTTTTGATACTGACTACTTAAAATCAGGATGAATGTAAAGACAGACACAACTTTTTGACATCAGAACCTGCACTGGCGCCATGGTTTTGTGCGTAAAGTGTGTTTTCAGTTTCACATTGATTCTGTTTTATCTGTTGCAGGCCCCTCGTAATGCAAAACCTATGCAAGCTTCTTGGATCAGCGCCAGCATTACTTGCAGACACACAGGACTGTGAGGTGTGCCTGAAGAATGAAACATGAACCTTAGATACCGGTAGCAGAGTATGAGAGAATTTTCTTAAAGAAACTCTCTGTGTAATATGATTCGCTGTAAACAAGTTTGTTGGTGGACACTTTCCACAAAGCACAGTAGAATGAAATCCAATACTGAACTATTGAAATCTAGCCCTTCAGGTTTGTCCGAGTACCGTTGCCTTTGATTATGTCTGAGTAGACTGAGTAGTTGAGTAGTTGGACAAAAATCTTGAAATATATTCCACTTTGTTGCAAAAGAAGTGAAAGTATCAAGGACTCTTTCAAATATTTGAAATTTACTCGTATACATATGTCCAAACATACTTGCTACATGTATCTCCTTCACTGTATGTAGTCAAACATGATTGCTTTTACTATGTTATATTTCAGTAAACGTGGGAACTATGACAAGAGCTCATCAAGTGCTCATCAAGTGCAACGCTGACTATATACTGGGGGGTGGAGGGATTTCGGACATGCAGGGGAGAGGGTGTAATGTCCTTCTGCTCTGACCAAGATTCAAACCTGTGATATCTTAATTTCTGAAATCCCCCAAAAGGACTTCTGCGATGAAGTCGTGGAGCTCTTATGGCAGTACAGTAACCATGGCAACCCGGCCGTATCTGCTGCTGCATTCACCGCCTTGGCCATTTTCCAGGAAGACGACTTCACGCTGGATGACCTACCACCAGAGGTAAAAGTACAGTGACCTGTGATTTTGCAAATGTTGCCGTAGCTCAGGTGTGCCACGGTCTTAATCATTGAGTACAGACTGTCACACTAGGCTGCAACCGTGAAGCATGTGAAGCATGCACACACTATATGTTGACTTACATGTGGCTGTGCAATATCCCACCAAATCTTGCCCTGTTACAAATACTCAAAAACCAGACTTACTCAATATTACAAATTTCCTAGGTTGGGCTCAACATTTTCTTTATCAAAACTTAAGGTTTCCTCCCAACACACAACCTGTGTAGAATTTGGAACAAGAGGCGAGCACATGGCCGTATATTCACTGAAACACCCATACCTTAGTACCGTTTTCTCAAGTGAAGGGCCGCTTTGTAATCTTTATGCATTGAATTGGAGGTGCTTGATTGTTAAATTTACAAATCCAGTTTACCATCTTGGCATTAAGTTCAAATTTAACAAAGTTTGAAATACCACAAAGCTGTTCTCCTGAATACACCAAGTTTGGCTTGTGCAGCATTAATTATTATTGACAGATGATAAATATGGAACTCGTCAGAATATGGCAACATCAGATCAAGTCACAGTATACATGTGCATAGACTGCCTTGTTTCTTAGATGTGGTGACGACAAATTTTTGTGGCAATTTTTGCCTTTCAACTCAGTCTTGTTTTTCTTAAAGAAAAGAAAGTGTCCCCTCAATGTGATAATGACCTTAGCATGGAATTGTGCAATAAGCCTTTTGTGAGTTTAATTTGAGTAAAATCTGGTACATTGAGTTGTCTGGTCAGACATGATCACGAACTTTGAATTCCCCAGACTGAAGACACTTGCTATACATGTACCTTGTGATTCAGGGCAAACTTTTGCATAGTGACCACCATTTCTGGAATAGACTGGTTCCTTTGTGCCCTTCTTATCCATGGAGAACAGTGTGTTGGTGCAAGGCATCTCTTATGTAACTAAGCAAAAGCGTGCCCAGAACCACAAGGTGTAGCGACAGTGTCTTTAGTATGGAGAATTCCAATGGTTATGTTCATGTGAATAAAAAAACCTCACTGTACCAGATGTTATTCAAATTTAACTTGCAAAAAGGCTTATTTGCACGTGCAGTTTCTACTTGCGTTATGTAAATAGATTGCCGAAGAGGAGAAAACAAAGATTGAAGCCATGAAGGCAAAACAGAAGGAGACAGATTGCAAGGCGGGCAAGATGAGAACAAAGGAAGAGGAAGATGAGGAAGAAGGCGAAGCAATCCCTCCATCTTGCTATATCAAGCTTCTAATGAGTATTCATGAGGAGGTCCTCCCAGGTGCGGATGCAGAAATGTATTTTAACAACTCACCCATTGATGACCCCCTAAAAATCTGAAATGCTTTTGGGAGGGTTGTTTTTGGAGGCCGGACATCATTTGTGGGGGGGGGAGATGGACTTTCACGTACATGTAAGATATGTTTAAATAATTGCATGTTCTTGCTCACTGCCCATTTTGCCAAGATAGATAGTTTATATTTTTTCTACTGCAGTGCTCAATGCATGCTGGCTGCTATAGGTGTTGCCTTGAACTTCACATGACCATAGCAAAGAAACCATAGGTCTGATTGAGTTCAAACTTCACGTTTGTACTGATAAGGAGTGTCTTTACGTGCATGTCAAACTAACCTGGCTCTTTGAGTGTTAAGTAAGGACTAACAGTGCAGTAAATGCTGTAAAAGCCTCATCATTTGATGATGCCAAATTGGAGCATTTTTACCACAAGTTGAACTCTTCACGAGCTGGAATGTTTAGAGTGTAATGTCAGGATCTGCAAAAGAGATCCCAACAAATTTCAGCTTAAGAAACCAAAGTCTTTGTGATTGATATCTTCTGTCCATAGCCTACCAATTGTTCCTGTCTTCTCTGCTGGTGGAAGAGGTGAAGAACCTGCCCAGAGGGGTTCACAAGTCTGCCATCCAGAGGCAACAAACTGTAAACAGGGGAAAGACGTTGGACAACGTACCATCCCTGCTCCTGAATCGCTTTGAAAGGATCAAGCAGCCGGGACTCAAACCAGGATTGGCAGGTATAATTTAGTCAGGGAACGTTGTGCTCAGTAAGCACATTGGATGCCAACCTGTGCATTGGTGTATGTGTACGTCCCACATAGGCAGCTGCATCTGTGATTTGACTCAAAAAAGGGTGGATTTTTGTTTTCTCACTTTTTCTAGTTGGCCTGTTGTGCTCTTTTGAGCCAAAGAAAGAGACAAGTCAGCAAGCTGACAAACCAGGGCGACGCCACGTTATCAATAAGGGCAGAGCCTACCAACACATGATCAACACTCTCATGAACGAGGTAACGACAGAGTTATTGTCACCAAAAGCACGATATTGTCTGGCCCAGTGGGTCAAAATATGACTAGATCTCCTCCCCAAAAAGCCTGAATCTCCCCCCCCCCCGACCCTAAAACCCATCAGCAGGTTTGGACGGATTTTTCAGGATTGATTTATTATAACATGTAGCGTAACTACATGAACACCACTAGGAGACAAGTTCTAATATTGGTTTTATCCACAGAGATGGAATGAGGAGGGCAAAACATTCTCTGCCATTTTATTTGAAAATAACTCCACTGAACCCGTATACCTGAAGTGACATTTTTTCGTTGAGGAGATTAATGGCAACACCAAATGTGCAACTTGTTATTTGTCAAATTTGGTGATTGGATTGCACAGTTCTGGTAATGCTGTTGGTTGATTGAGGAGGAACATTTGTTCATTGGCAGCTGTGTGTTGACTCCACTGATTGGTTTGAGCTGATGCAGTTACCTCATGCGTGGATGTCGCTGATGCAGAATGCTCTGCAGGCTCTCATTCAGGTACACTGAAATCCACTCAGAATGTTTGTACAAAGACATGCTGACTGTCGTTTGGCAGCTGCGTGCGTCTGTTTAGAGCCTGGGCCACATTTCAGTTAACCCCTTAACGCCGGGATTCTTTTGACCGCGAGTGCTGGGCTGTGATATGCCCAGTATGCAAAGCCCTGTGCAGCAGCAGGCCCACATTGAAACCGCAGGTGCATGATGAATTGAATGTAAGTGTGGTATGCACTAATCCTCACACAAAGCCGCGGCTTTCGCCGTCTACCAGCGTTAAGGGGTTAACAGCAGAAAAGTCATGATTACTATTGCAGAAAAATTGGCTTTTACACTATTAAACTTAGCTTAAACACTATTTCATGGAGGTGCTTGGCCTGGTTATGTTTACAGTTGCAACGCATAGAGATTTCCATTGTTTTGTCACTACATTAAGCAAGTTTGTCCTCCGAGGTTAGCGTGCCTTTTGCTGCGCTTACTGCATACGGTCTCCATGAAATGTGTGGAGCCTCTGATAGCATAAACATGTCTGCTTAGCAGCGCAGTGAAGCTGGGCCCTGGCGCACGTAGTGCTTGGGTGGTACACAGCATATGCTAATGGTTTGGCATGCTTTTGTTATGGCAAAGTCACCCAAACATCAGCATAAGCGGTTCACTGCTTCGCGAAAACAGTGAGAATGTGGTCAACTCTATTCGCTACATTTGTACTACATCTGCCATTTTGCAAGGACTTAAATCCCTCCATGGCAAAAAGATTACTTCGCCTATCTTGCGTATTGCTTGCATAGGTTGAGATATAGCCCTGGATACTCCATTCACAGGATTGAATTTTTGAAAGGCTAAATTCATGCACAGTTATGCAGCTGTAAGAGTTTTTCTTGAGAAATAGTCGCTGGTGAAAGGGGATTTTAGGAAGATTTTTTTTATGCAGAGCCGTTGTGCCGAGCTTGAACTTCAGAGGAGTCATGGTCACCTGGACGAGAGCCAAGCAGACTTCCAAGTCAAGATGGACACGGCCTGGCTGTGGGTACGGGACAAACTGACTGACCAGATCAAGACAGCAGCCAAGTAAGTATTCCTGGAACACCGGAGACTATCAGTGTTAACACAGACCTCAATGTGGCTATGTCTAAATTAACTTACTGGGGCTAGGAGTAACACACAAGTGTATGGGAAGTGGCTGCATCTGCTAAGCCAGTAGCTGCCATA